TCACAAGTTAAAAAAGTGAAATCTTTCGCTGTTTCTTAATTCCTGCTGATTATTGGGTTACCCTCCGCTAGCTTAAAGCAATAGCCTGTTATATTCTTATGGTCTGGTGAATTAGCCCAATCAGCATCACAAAATTCTTCCAATTTTAATGATTTATTGGATTGTCAAAATACTAGGCATCGACTATTAGTCCACTTCAGATAACGTAATACTTGCTTCAAAAAATTGTTAAAATGTACAGTCCACGGTTTACTTAAGTTTTGGGATAACTTAGTAATCGTATAGCAGATTATTTTGCCTAGTTCATATCATCATGCAAATAATACTTCCGACCAATATTCTGTATTCATTTTCACACTCCGTTATACCATCTTCTTTATTCCTAATTGTGCTTCAATCCATTTCACATGGAGTAGTTCTTTGTTTTGCCATTTTGCATGTTAAATTTCAATAAAAGCCTTTCCATGTATCTTGATTAATTCATTGAAATCGTATTGCCTTTAAATTTGTACTGTATACCAAGAAAAACATGATAGTTCGACCCAAATTGGTCATTTTACAACTCATTTCTAGAGAACTCTTGATTTATAATAGCGCGGCCTCACTCTTTGATACAATTAACATATTTTCGACCCAAATAACTAAAATTACTGATATTTTATTATTAAATGTCTGTGTACAGACATGGGTCCACTTGAGGAGATTGAAATTATTGTCTAATTAAATAACTACTGATTAAATTATTCCATTTTTTTTACTTATTTTGAGTCCATATAGTAACTTTTTAAAGTTTTTTTTCTTAAAGTTTCCATACATAATCATCACTTTTTTTGCCTTCTTTTTTTTTAAACTTCTGGTGGTTCCATATACATTTCGTAGTCGATGGTGCATTCTGAAATAAGCCCTTTTTTTTTTTATTTAACATCCATAAGATGTAGATCTTTACCACAATGGGCATCCATTTGGATCAAAACCCTAATTAAGACTTAATGTCACTACATAAGTCTTCCGCCCCATATATCTATAAAAATAAATCCGTTAGCTACAAAAACGAACATCGCATACTGGCGATCTATTCTTAGTTCGCTTTACAATGTAAACCCAACGGCTGCCAATGATATTTCTATCATCAATTTAATTAAGACTTAAGATTTTCACATAAGTCGTCCCCCCCCCACCCTTATATCTATGTAAATCCGTTAACTATAAAACGAACCTTGTAGACTGACGATCTATCCTCAGTTCGCTCATAGTACGGCTGCCGATGATGATGATGATGATCATCATCATCATCATCCGGGGCGTTTTGATTCAAAAAGTGTCCCAATACTAAAGATTAAATTTCTTTATTTTTGGCTTAAATTTCTTCCTTCTTTTCTTTTTGAAGGCTTACATTTCTTCATTCTTTTTCTTTTTGAAGGCATGGCCGCTCTGATATTAACAAAATGTATGGCTTCTTGGTAGTTCCTTGAGATACATTTGTACTGCATAACAACAGTTAATATTACATTAATTCATTTCACAATAGTCTGGCTTTTCTCCATTCTGGTCGGAATTTGCACCTGATTTTCTTCTTCTCGTATACCCCATCTGGTATAGTACCTTCCTCTGCTTGTGGACTCTGAACGGGTTTTCTACCCATAATTAGGCCATACTTAATTCTGGTTGTACTAGTTCCTCGGAATTAATATATTTTTGCTTTTTTTTTTTTTTTTTTTTAAGGTTCCTCCCCTCGCTCAAAGGAATTTATCTATCTGACGCATCTGATCTGCCTCACCGTTTTCTTTTTTTTTTTAAATCATATAGTCTGGACTTGGCTTATTCTACCCATAAATATGTCCCTTTAATTTTGGGATCTCATTCCGCTCTGTGGTCAACATATATACAGCAAATTATATCAAAAATATGCATATCATTCACATTGGGCTCTAATTGAGTTTTTAGTTTCTTTCTCAATGCATAAAACCACAGCTTCTTGGGTAATTCAAATTCTATTAACAATCATCTAGCCATTTTAAAAAGTGTCCTCCAACTGCGTTCAGTGACTCCGTTCTTATGCGGAGAATAAGAACAGGTTTTCTCACGTTTTAATGCCTTCATTTATTTAATTTATTAGGAGGTTTTTGTAAGCATCAGAAGTAAATTGTCCACCATTATCTGTTTGAATTATTTTTAATTTTCCATGTGGGGGAGTTCTCGGATAAATAGATTTTCGTAGATTGCAGATTATCAAATTTACTTTCAGAAAGTAAATCATAAGCCCTGAGTATTCGGCAACAAAGTTCAAGTCATTTTTCTTTAATATACATGTCAAATCATTTGGAAGTGTATTTTTTTTTTTATTCCAGTGACATGTTCTTGCAATCTCTTAACATCAGAATTCTTACAGTGGCCTAATATCTTATGCCAAGTTCTTAAGTCATGCGTGGCCATCTTAGCAGACTTAACACTTTTCAAATAATACTAACGTCCATATTGCTGTGTATCAAATCCAGTTCTGTCTGGATATCTTGAATTTAAAATATATAAAGCCTTTTTTCCTTCTTTTTTTTTTAAATAAACATTCTATATATTTCCTCTAGTATTTCGCAGATAAGTACAGGCACTACCTCTCTTTGAAGCTAAATTATTAGCTCTGGTGCCATCCAGTAACTCGATAAAATGTCAGTCGAGCTCAAAATTCAGGTCAAAATTAATAAATTTTGTTACAACTATAATTGCACGATTTGTCGCACCCGAATTGACCGAATCACAAGTACTGGCCACACTACTCAATCCAAACAAAAAGGGCATATGCACGTCCATTCGAAAAAGTGTTTTTTTTTTTTTTGTTTACAAAAGTCATTCTGTGTAGAAAATTGACATTTCCGCACGGACATGGCCGACATTATTACCACAACGAAAACATACTTTTTTTTTTTGCCTCGATTTTGGGGGGTACATATTATCATATTGCTTCATAATTACGTAACGCAATTTTAAACTCAGTGACAGTTACCTGTTATCTTTTTAAGTTATAACTGTCATGAATGGTTTGAATGAAGGTGGCAAACCCTTCAAGACCATGGCTATTCGTAGCCCATCAGAGAGAGTCCTCACCTGCAATTTTAAAGCATTTGTGACATTCTCTGCTAAAATAATTGGTTACTAATTCGCGGTTAGTTCAAATATATGAAGCAATAATTTTAGGCTTACCTTTTAACAAATAGTACTCGTTTAAATTTGTGTAGGGCTCGGCTTCCATTGTCCTTGGCCTCCCTCATTATTAAAGACAAACTCCAGTCATCCAGGAATTGAATTAACTCCGTAAAAACGGTCGCATTTCTTCATAAAATCATCATGCCCCCCTCCTGGTCGACTTGCAAAAGATGATGTCATGGAGTTTTCATATTCTTAGGTAGCCTAAAAAAACTTCGTCTCCCATAATTCATATCCAGATTCATAACCGTCAAAATAAATCGTGATCTGGGCCTCATAACCTATGTTAGACATTTCCATGATGGTCGTCCTTGAGTATTGAATCTAGGGGTTGGCAGTGAATATTTCGGAGACAGTAGGAAAGCGTACTTTAGGTTCGCAGTGGATATCACAGCAGAGTGTAGTTCATCCTTCTCCTGGTCGCCTTTGGTCCTTCCGGTAAACGAAACAAGATGGCCGCCTTTATACACGATGAATACAGTGTTGTGCGGCTTCTAATTGGTCAACCTTCCATTGGTCGACTATAAAGGGAAATAAGTCATTCTGACTCGCTCACTAGTTATAAGTATATATACCCAAAAAACTGTAACAATATACACCATGTATTTAAAAAGTGAAAACTTTTTAATAGTTTTTTTTCCAAAAACTGCGGGTAACCTTCACTGATACAACTGTAAAATTCAATCAGAGATTTCTGTCTGAATTTCTAGGATGAGGAGTTATCATTATTTATACTATTTTATACACACACAAAAACACACACACTCACACACACATATATATAAATATAAAAGTGAACATTGAAATCAACACTTAGAGGCGACAGGTTGTTTCATGCTGGACACAATCGTTGGCCTGACGATTGAGTCTAGCATGAAACAGCCTGTCGCCTCTAAGTGTTGACTTCAATGTTCACTTTTATATTTACACACGCTCTATCTCTGATATTGAACACTTTATCCCATAAATGTAGCACACCTTACAACTATATTGCTTCATATATATATATATATATATATATAGTCCTCATCTTTGTTTTTTATCACAATAGTTTAGTCATTGTGCTCTCCAGCCTTCACCAGGTGTATATCGATCTAGATAACTTACAGGGAATTCTGAACTGAATTACCTGGAGGTACCTGAATTGATATAAACCTGTTGAAAGCAAGGGTGCACAATAATCAATCAAGGGTAGTTTCTCATAGATTAAACCACCTTCTTCTGAAAGACTTAAAATTCTTGTTTCCTGGGTATGACTATAAACTACATCCAGTAGCAAATCCTCTGATTGGGAGATTTTGAGGAGTGTAGAATCACCTCTAAATTGCTGTTGTTCCAAAGTCCACTCTGACCCGGGGTGGTGGCACCTGTTAGGGTCCCATCTATTGACAAATAGTTAACCCCAAACTGGGGTCAAAACACTATGAAAGTATAAAAATACAATTTTTATAGTAAAAATAGCAGTAATACATTTTCATAGTAAAAAATTACCAGCAATACATTTTGAAAAAAAATATTACCAGCAATACATTTTTGTAAGAGAAACTACTAATACTCATAAGAAAATTAAATTTTGAGCATTAAATGACCCATGAGATGTTGATATGCCGCTAAACAAAAAAAAAAAAAAAAAAGAAAAAAAAAAGATACTTAAAATTCACAAACTCTTTTGTCTTTTTCAAATCTCACTCACCCACTCAGTACAAAATATACACATTATTTCATTAAAAATTTATGAAAATAATTTTAACTTCAGGGTTCATGTACTGTCTGCAGGAAACACTTTGAAAAGAACTACTTACCTGTCTCACTCAAGCGGAAAGTTTTGCTATCATAGACAACAACGTGCTGCTTACATTCAAGTTCACTGCCATAAGGAACTGATGGACTTCCATCTGTCTCCTGCGATTTTATAAATAAATAGATATTGTTATGGAAAATTATTGATTTTATCATGTTTCCATTTTTATTTCATTTTATACAATTCGATATTCTTTCATTTTCTTTCTCTTTTTTCATTTATTCAAATATTTCATTCTTTTTCTCGTTCGCTCAACCCCTTTGACGTTTATTAATACCTTCCATGGGCACTTCAACGTGATGAAGTGGTTAGCAAACGTGTCTTGCAAGATCAATTACAACTGAGTAGTGGGTTTGATCCTCACTGGGTGCTGCATACTTTCAGCCTTGTGCCACATCTAAGCTATGTTTAGAAAACCATCATTAATCCCTATCATTTATTAATTGTTCACTTTTTCATAATTACTTCTCTTAATTCTTTCATTTATTATAATTTTTTTTATCATTATTAGTATATGGGTGTGTGTTTTGCCACACAAAGTTTACTAATTATTCTATGTTAGATAGAATAACGTGTTCTAGCGTTCAGTAGCACACCGATACTAATATTAGCATTAGCGTACCCATTGATACACTAACACTGAATGCGAATATGAAAAGACGAAATACGCGAGCGTAACCAATGAAACATTTAATGTGGCGAGCAGCCTTCGTAAATATATACACAAGATTTATACATGTCCCAAAACAAATAAATGTCCATATTGTCCCAAAGGAACGAGGAGGTTAAACAGAATTAGTACAAAGATATCACCTACCAATGTCATGGCCTTAGGTCGTCCCCAGATGAGTGAAAGAGTTTGTTGCGTTAGGCCGTACCCATGTTGACCAGTTTCCACGTGTGTGGACACTCTGGTGGTCAGGAAGGAAAAGAGATCGTTCCTCCCAAAATGGAAGTGACGACAAAAAAAAGGCAGAAGAGTTCTACTCACTAAAAGGGGCCACAACACTCATGGGCTAATGCAAAGAGAAAACACTGTGGTCCCCCTACATCATTAATTCATTTCTTCATTCATTTTCTCGTCCATTATGCCTTTTTCAGTAATCATTTATTTTTCATCTCATTTCTCAGTTACTCTTTCATTCACTATGCTTTTTCCATTTTTCATTTATATCTTTACTCATACTCTTTCATTTGTTTTTTATACTGTTACCATTAATCATTCACGTTTTTTTCTTCATTTTTTCATTCCTAATGCCTTTTGCAATACTAATTCATTTTTTCTTTGTTTTTCATTCATTCCTTTATTCACTATGCTTTCTCTATTATTCATTCATATTTTCATTCATGACTTCATCTGTTGTCTTTTATTATACCTTTGTCAATATTTATTCATTTACTCATTCCACATCTCCTTTAATTGTATGACCAGTGGACATAAATTTACTTTAGAATCCTAGTATTAAGCATTATCATTCTCACAATATGGTAACACTTTCTTCATGGGTGAAAACACACCAGAAAATGTATACTTGTTTTAGAAAAAAAAACTTTAGCTACATATTTTCAGAACTTAAATGAAACAATAGTTTGTTCTGGAAGTAAAAAATATATTCATTAGTAAATATGAAAAAGAGAAGTGAATTAAGGTCTTGATAGCTGTACATTGTGTCACTAATGTTGGCTTTGGCTGTAAAAGGTGATCAAAATTGAGAAAATTCATGCTAAACACAATCTCCAGGCTTGATGACAGACAGACTGTCACCTCTGAGTGTTGACTTCAATGTCCAATTTTATATTTACATAAGATCTGTCCCTGATCTTGAGCACTTTAACCCATAAATATAGCAAACCTTTAAACTATATTTTATGATATATAGGGTGCAATGGGTAGATTGTTGCCATTTTATATTTTTAATTTCATGTATGTTCCTTGTTTGTTTTTGATTTTGTTGACTGCACTAAAAGAGCTCCATGATGCAATTCACTCTGCCAAAAATTTGGAAACAACATGCTCTACTGCTCAGCATTTGTGCCGGAAGCTCCAATACAAACATTTCAGAGTATTTGGGTGTCAATCTGATATAATGGAATATGCATACACCTGTGTTCCCCCTCACTGGAATATGATTGGCTGGTGCCTGTCATAAATACTGACGGACGTGTAGGTACAACAGAGTCCAAGAGCCTTAGTCTGAGAGCTAAGTCAATAACAATGCCCATTGGACTATGCCACTGATCTACACTTCTTACCTGCAACTACGATGCATACCAGTCGATTGCTGCTACCGTATTCTACTTGGTTATAGTAGCCAAAACCACTTAGCTACTTCGTTCAAATATATCCCTTTCTGGAACATATCACAATCTGAGGAGAGTGCAGAGTTGGATGAGTCTAATGGTGATTACAAAGGTACAGTAGATTAATAAACTCACTTTGATCATTCAGATAAATAAAGAACTCCCGAATTTGTTGGTGAGGGTTTCAGACTCAACACGGAGGCTTATATCAAGTGCCTTGAGGAGATAATGCTACCCTGGGTCAAGAGAGTGGCTGCTGGAAGACCCTATGTCTGGCAACAGGACTCTGCCCAATGTCACACAAGCAGGAGAACCCAATCATGGCTGTCAGACAATTTCTCTGACCACATCACCGCTTACACCTGGCCACCTAACTCCCCAGACTGCAACCCCCTTGATCATTATGTGTGGGAGAAAAAGACCAGTAAAATTCCTTGTAACACTAAAGATGAACTGAAGGCAAATATTATGGTAGCATTTACCAACTTAAACAAGGAGATTGTCCAGAAGAGTTGCAGGAGATTCCAAAGTTGTCTGGAGGCCATGGTTGAAGCCAATGACACTTTTATTCAAACATCAACCTTTATGCTAGCACAGTTTCTACCAGAATGGTTTCATCATTAATAAGTCTATTTGTATATATATTAAAAAGAATTATATGTTTGTTCCTGTACTGCACAATGCTACTGAAAGTTTTATGTGCATGGCAATCATTGGGCATAAACTCTAAATTGTCTGTTCTCATAATCCTTTATTTAATAACTACAGGAAAGATAGTTCATTTTCATAGGAAAAATGAAGAAAAGCAGGAGGAAAATACACCATGGTTCTATATTTCTTAATAGAATCATGCAGTAAGGAAGAACAATATAAGCCTAAAGTTTTGGACCATTCTCTGGATTTAATCATTAGTAAATTTCATATCTTCTTTGGTTTAACTAATTCTTACTAATCTTCGTTGCTGAAACCATTTAATGCATAAATGCATGGGATCACATTTTATAGAGAGTGGATTATCTAAAATTTTAAATCCACCAAAGCTCAAAGGTTACTATTATCTAGGAAGATAGAGTAGGTAAAAAGTAACAAGATTCTAATTAATTAATTAATCTGTTATAGAGTAGTTTTCACAGTGGATGCTTGTATTTCAATAAGTCGTCCTAAATTAGGTTCGACGTACAAAACGTTAGGAACTTGAAATAAGAGTTAATGACGCAGCAATCTAGTTGTGATGGTTGATACTCCAATGTCCGACAGACTCACTCAACCCCACTGAGCCAAACTCGCGACTGCTACTACTACTACTACTTATTATGTGTGGGAGGGTCTATTAATAATAGAATAGGTACGTCAGGTATAACATAATCATTGTTATTATTATCATTATTATTATCATTATTATTATATTATCAATATTATTATATTATCATTAATATTATTATTATTATTATATTATCATCATTATTATTATTATATTATCATTAATATTATTATTAGTATCATTATTATTATTATTATTATTATTATTTACTTTGATTTCTGGCGTTTACACATTTCTTTCCGGGTCCCGCCCAGGGACCTAAGGTTAGAAATGGCGTCATGACACTTTACACTGACAAAAAAAAAAAATAATAACAATAATAATATTACATAGATAAAGCCCTTCGTAAAGTGTGGGCTGTACTTGTCAGAACAATTTTTTGTATCTCCTTGAGGCATGGACTTCCAGGAATCCCTTCAATTAGTCTACTGTAATGTTTTCCAACCAGTCCTAGGGCTCCAAATTATTATTATTATTATTATGATTATTATTATTATTATTATTATTATTATTATTATTTTATTATTATTATTATTGCTTATATTATTCTGGAAATTATTATTATTATTATTATTAATTATATTATTATTATTATATTATTATTTTTAAATTATTATTAAATCTGGAAATTATTATTATTATTATTATTCCCATTGTTTATATTATTCTGAAAAATATTATTATTAATTATATTATTATTATTATATTATTATTTTTATTATTATTATTAGTAGTAGTATTATTAAATTATTACTAAATCTGGAAATAATAATTATTATTCATATTGTTAATATTATTCTGGAAATTATTATTATTAAATTATCATTAATTATATTATTATTATATTATTATTATTAAATTATTATTAAATCTGGAAATTATTATTATTATTATTATTATTATTATTATATTTTTATTTTCTTTGATTTCTGGCCCTTCGTAAGGTGTGGGCTGTACTTGTTAGAACAATTTTCTGTATCTCCTTGAGGCATGGACTTCCAGGTATCCCTTCAATTAGTCTACTGGAATCTTTTCCAACCAGTCCTAGGGCTCCAACTACAACAGGGATTGTTGATGTTCCCATATGCCACATTTTCGCGATTTCGATTTCAAGGTCCTTGTACTTTGACAACTTTTTGAATATCTTCAAAGATACATTGCAGTCGGCAGGGACTGCCATATCAATAAGGAGGCACCGTTTTTGTTTATGGTCTTTAATAACAAATATCTGGGCGGTTGGCCTTGATTGTTCTGTCAGTGTGTATTGTGTAGTCCCATAGAATTGTAACAGGTCCTATCTCCGTAACCGGGTCTGGGTGGTGTTCATACCAGTTTCTTTCAGTTTTCTTCCCATAGAAGTTGCAGATTTTCCAGTGCAGATATTGGCCCACTCTGTCATGTCGGGTTTTATATTCAGTGGGTACCAACACCGTACAACCTGCTACAAGATGATCAATCGTTTCTGGATATTTATCACAGAATCTGCATTTTGGACTGACACAATATTTTAGTATATGTGCTTGATAATTCCTAGTTAGCAAGCATTGGTCCTGGGCGCAGCAAGGATAAAACCTTCAGTTTCCGCTTTCAACCCTGCACTACGTAGCCACTGATGGGTGCGGGTTTTGTCTCACGTCAGCTTGTTTGGTACGGGCAGAGTATTGGCCATGAAGCGGTTTATCTTGCCATCGCTTCTGTAACTGGTCTGTTGCATTCGTCTTAGCTATCTTTTTAGGTATTTTGCAGTTTCAGCCGGTGTATTGTGCTGTAGTTGCATCTCTACGCCCATTTGGAACTCCATTTTGAATTTGTTGGCTTCCTTCATTACGGATGAGAGACGCTTACTACTTTCATGTTCCTTGACGCACACCATCATCCAGTCTTCTGTAGTTTCCAAATATCTTTGGAGGCCAATTGTTGTAGTTTTTGTAGGACAGTTCTAGTTGAACTAATCCTCTGCCTCCTTCGGATCTGGGCACATACAGACGGTCGACATCAGCTTTGGGATGATGCATGCGATAGCAAGTGAGTAGCTTTCTCGTTTTGGCATCCAGTCGCTTAATTTCAGCTATGGTCCAGTTAAGGACATTAAAGCTGTATTGCACCACAGGGACAGACAATGTGTTTATGGCTGATATCCTGTTTTTTGAGTTCAGCTCAGTATTTAGTACCAGACGTACACGCCTGTAGTATTCTTTTTTATTTTTTCCTTCATTTGGGGGTGTTGTATGCCATCTCCTTCGCTAATTCCTAGGTACTTATAAGCTTCACCATGCTCCAGTTCCCTAATCTTTGTGACAAAATCTAAATCTATTAAGGGTGTTTCTGTAATTCTACCTTTCTTGAAAGTTACTTTTGCACATTTATCTAATCCAAGTCCATACCTATGTCGTCACTGAAGTATTTTACAATATTGAGAAGGCCTTTCAACTCATTGTCGTCTTTGGCAAAGAGTTTGAGATCATCCATGTAGAGTAGGTGATTGAATATTTTCTTATTTATTTTGTAACCATAGCTACTGTTGTTCAGTTCATGTGTAAGAGGGATTAAGGATAAACAAAACAGAAGGGGTGACAGAGAGTCTCCTTGAAAGATTCCACGTCGGATATTCAGACGGTTGGATATGGCAGTGCCCCCAGTGTGACTAAGGTATAGTTTGGTGTTCCACATTCCCATGCTGTGCTTTAGGAAATTTAATACCACAGGGGAGACTTTGTACATTTCCAAAGTCTTAAGGATCCAAGAATGTGGAACACTATCAAAGGCTTTACGATAATCAATCCACGCTGCACTTAGGTTCCTGCGTCGTCTCCTGCAATTTTCCAGGATCATCTTATTTATCAGAAGTTGATCCTTGCAGCCATATGAACCTCTTCTGCATCCCTTCTGTTCCAGCGGGAGAGTGCTGTTTGTTTCGAGAAAGGAATAAGTACGGTTCGTCAGTACAGACGTGATCAACTTATTATTATTATTATTATTATTATTATTATTATTATCATTATTAATATTATTGAATATATAATAAAACCAGTAGTGGCATTGTACAGGTTTGTATGAGCCAATTCTTAAATTGATAAAAACTTATCGAACCAGTTATTGGATTATCCAAAAATAATTCTATTGGATCTTTGGCTTTTCAGTTCGAATGTGGCTAAGAAACCATAACACAACTGATGACGCTAGAGTCAAAAAGCATCAGACTTTTGAACAGAAATATGATGAGAACTGAATTTCAATCTGGAAATAGCTTAATAAATAAATGTTTTCTATTAAATTATCAAAATGGTTTAATTCTCTTTGATACTATGAAGGGATTTGTTTCCATTCTCATATTAAAAAGAAAATATATAGAATAGATTCCTAAAGATTATCTGCCTTTATAGAACCAGTTCCTGGAAATTTAAGATGCCACCACTGGATAAAACCCTTCAGGAAGAGAAAGTCCCTCTGGCTGGAAGTGATCCAGTAAATTAGTTTTGAAAACTAAACCTTAAAATCTTAGGCAGTCCTTCAAAAGCAAGAGGGTGTCCCAAAACCTTTGGCCTATAGTGTACACATATTTATCATATTATAAAGAAGTAACTATGAAACAAATTTTTATTTATAAAAATATTTGTGAACAAGAAAAAAAGAAAATTTAAATAAACATATAATAAGTAAATGCATTTATAAAATTTGAAAAAATGAATTTTCCAAGAATTTCTTTCATTTTCTTTTGCCAAATATATTAACTAAAATAAATTGCACACATCTGAATTTTTATATTTTTTTATTGCAAACTGACAATGAAAATGTTAAAAACTGTTTATTAGATTGTTTAATTACATGAATAGACTGTCTATATTTCTGGGATGAGGTATTGTAACTATTTACATTGTTCAGACTATTGAATAATAGACAGAGAAAATCAGTGGAAAATACAAAAATTTAAGGAATCATCACATATGATGGCCACAAAAATCTAAGTTGGCCAAGCATAGAAATGAATACAATATGGGAACCAGTAATACAGAATGCTAGAGAAAAAAACAATAACAACAACAAATTGTAATATGAGCTCTGTTAAAAAATGTTTACTGAGACATTAGGTTTTATAAATCCCCAAAATTCATACACTGATGTCCCCAACCAAGGGCATATGGCCGAGTGGATAAAAGCATTGGTTGAAATAATCCAGTGACTTGACCCAAAAAGAGTTGTGGGTACAAAAGAATTGTGAACAAAATCTTGGAGAGTTGAGTTACTGAAGGGACTGAACTGAAACTGAGATATTCAGAAAAGGCGTGGCATGTGGAACTAGAACAATCTACACCAGTGGACGAAATAAAGGGTTTGGTTGAAATTCCAACATATATCACCTGAAGAAGGCCAGAGCATACAATGGCTGAAACATAGTGAATATGACAATAACAATGAGGACAAGAGTCCAAACAATGTAAACAGTGTAAATACATGAACAGTACTTAATATTTTTGTTATCAGTTCTCAAGAAAAAAAGAGAGAATGCCTTAAAAATCGAGTTTCATATGTTTGAGTTTTATAAAAAGTCTGAAAATAACTTTGTAAAACAATAAAATTTGCCAACATTGTATCGTGATTTTCCAAGCATAGCTTAGATGTGACACAAGGCCAAAAATAGGAGAAACCTATTAAGGATTGAACTCACTACTCATTTGTAATTGTTCTAGTGAGACAAGCTTGTTAACCATTACACTACCTCAAGGTGCCCCTTGCCAATGTACTATAAAGTAATAATGGTGTGAAGAGAAAAATTTTCTTTTTGACACACCCATTTTTTGTGGGTATAAATGTTAAACTTTGCTGAAAGTTCTACAGGACCTCTGAAAAAGTTTTTTTTTTCAATATAACACCATTAGAACACTGTTTAATAATTTACTATATTTAATAAAACAAATGAAAAGTTTGGATATTCAACCTGTGTCGGTCTTCGGGCTGTTATAATATGACTTTCATAATAATCTGCTTCTTTCCTCAAATCTGAAAAAATAAAAGAAAATGAGAAAAAAAATGTATTTAAATATCACATGAGAATTATATTTATCACATGAGAATTACATTTATCACAGAATTGAATATATCACTAAAACCCAAATTATTGACCAAGAATTAAGATTTAGACACCTAAAAATATTTGATAGCATATAAGACATTGTTTTCCCCCCAAAATATTAAAATATCTGTTAGACTAATCTTTATTTAGATATCACAGATTGTAAGTACATATACCTAACCTACTTCGATAACATTGTAATACTAGCAGGGATACCTGGAAGTGCCTGGAGGAAAAATAACTTCAAATAGAACAACAGAGGAAAAATATTTTTAAATTATCTCTTCTTACACAGCATAACATACAAAAAAAAAATGCATGAAAAAGACGTTACTGAAATAAAGATTCTGATATACAAATGAAGACAAATAATGCTGTGCCTTAGATTGAGAAATGCTTCTGAATAGACAAAATGAATGCTTCTCACTGGCTGTTCTAGCATGAAAAGTTGGTTTGGAATCCAAACTGAGAATAACTATCATAGAACTGGTCACATAAAAAGCTTGGAGAAATCAAGGGAGATTATCCTCCTGTCTTTATTTGGTGGTCATGGCAAACTGAGCTTTATTGATAAATTAAAGATGCCTAAATTAAAAGGACAAGTCTATTGGAATCATGGGAGAGTCTGACAATTAATACATCCTCCTTTTTGCCTACAAAAGTTTGGATAGTTGCCTTGTATACATACATACATACATACATACATACATACATATATACATACATACATACATACAGTCCCAGGTTAAATGGAATGTCACCCCACTGTGCCAGCTGACTGCACAAAGATGAAGACATTAGAAATCCTCCTACTAGATAGACACACCTACACAATTATGAATATACATTACCATCTGATACCTGCTTCGACATACTAGAATTTTTACAAACTTACATACATATAGAATTATCTACAGTTTTAATGCATATGATATTTGACTGATCAATGAGAATCGATCCAAACAAAATTAAAAACACCAAAGTTTTGTCTTTTTTTCTGTTCTTTCAATCTCTGATGAGGCTGTAATAAAAGTGAAACATGTTAGATTGATAAACATTTCCTATTTGTTATTTATCTTATCATATATATATAAATATATTATCTATTATATATATATTATATGTTATTTATCTTATCTATATATATATATATATATATATATAAATGCAATCATCAGGCCTGATGATTGCATTTAAGCATGAGACAGATTGTTGCCTCTGAATGCTGACCTCAATGTCCACTTTTATATTTATATATGCTTTATCCCTGACATTGAGCACTTTAAACCGTAAATAGACCATACTTTAAAACTATATTTTTATCAGATATATATGTGTATATATATATATATATATATATATATATATATATATATATATATATATATATATATATATGCACACACACACACACACGTGTGTATGTGCATGAAAAACATTTCAGAAATAACTACAATATATCTGTAAAAGACATTATGAATAGCAACTAACTCCCTAACATTTATTATCCAATCTTAACAATATCAAAATAATTACAACCATCATCCAAAACTGGATATGATCAGAACCAAAAATATCCATGACGATAATAATTCTGGAGCAGGTATATATAAAATAAACTGCTACAATTGCTCTTCATAATACAATGGAGAAACTTGCAGAAGTTTTAAAAAAATGTATCTATAAACTCAACAAGTTTGATAATCCAGACAAAATGGAAAATTGTTTTGTTGACTTCAATATACATTTCACCTTTGCTATATAGGCATCCTTGGGTCAGAACAAAAGAAATCAGTATGTGTGTGTGTGAGTGTGTGTGTGTGTGTGTATGTGCTTCAATACTATATCATTAATATCTTGGTAGGCTTGTATCCCTTGGTCAGAATGAAAGAATAAAAGTGGATAACTTTTGTTCTAAAGCTGTTATTTTAATATATATATATATATATATATATATATATATATATATATATATGTATATATATATATATATATATATATATATATATATATATATATATTGTGCATTAAAACAGCAATCCTTCATTTATACATGTTTCATTAAAGACAACAGACAAGGTACCATGATTAAGCTTTTTATTTTTTCTTGTGCTTTTTTCTTTTCTGGACACAGAATGCATAGAAAATGTCCAAATGTGTTTGTAATTTTGAGCACTTTCGGTTATACGTTTTGCCATTATCAAGAATGATTTTATTTTTGCTTTTTTATTGGCTGTATGGGTTTTGTGTATGTTTCTAGAGTTATACGGATGTCTTATTTATCACACACACACACACACACATATATATAGCAATTTTCCAAGCATAGCTCAGATGTGGCACAAGGCCGAAAGTACGGAGCACCCAGTGGGGATCGAACTCACTACTCAGTCGTAATAGTTCTAGAGAGATAAGCTTGCTAACCATTACACCACTTCTAGGTGCCCAACACACACACACACACACACACACGTGTGTGTGTGTGTGTGTGTGCATGTATGTATAATTAGAAAAGAACACAATTTATTATGGAGAAAATACTTACAAGGAATGTGATAAATATTTTACCATCAATAAACACTCACCAAATGCACATTATTATGTCATCAACTTTTAAAAATTCTATACTTAAATATTCTAAGATCTGTCTACCTACAACCACAACCTTAGACGAGAATTGTCATACACAAAAATATAAGAATTATACATGAGAAGGCTGCTTCACTTCACATGTGACGTCTGCTTAACCAATGAAAGACAAACACAAAAATAGAAAAAATACCAAAACTTTTTCTTTTTCATATTTCATTTTCTGATGATATATATGTCTGTTCATATATAAATGAAAGTGGACACTGAGGTCAACACCGACAGTCTATTTCATGCTTGAAAGCAAGATATTTAAATATGGCCTCTCTCTAATATTGAGTGCATTTACCCATAAATTTACAGGGTATTAAGTAACCGTCCTGAAGAGAAAGGCACTCCTCTTTGCTGTTGCCTAGAAGTGGATGGGCTCCTTTTTTCACAAGGAGCAGGAGCAGGAAGCATTCCATTTTATCAGAGCAACATCTCAGAAATGAAGTGCATGACAACTGATAAAAACAATTCTAATCTACAACTCACAATCTACAGCCAGCAAATCACTTGGAGTTTGTATATCTTGGTCACAAGCTATCATCAAATAACAATGGAATGGTTGCTGTACAACATAGCATCAGTCTGAGTTTGGAAGTTTCCAATAGGAACAAAGAAATGCAAACATCAAAATGAGTTTCTCATCATTGCAGCACCTGGGCCCAAGAATTACTTTTTATCCCACTAGACACATCAAAAAAAAAAAGCTGGAATAAAATAAAATGCAAGGTCAATTTTACTAATTTGAGGCTCTCTCTGGATCAGCAGCACTGCCTCGCCTGTCTACTATCTGCTTCACAACCGAGTAGTGGCGCCTGGCTCAACACAGTGCCCTCTTCATCTACTGGTACCCTTCTAGATGATGAGTGCACTCAGGTCAGAATCATGATCCGTCTTAGACTCAAATTGTGTGAGCGTCACAGATGCAGATGTGGAGCTTCCATTGATGAGTTTGGTTTGCATCCTCTCTTCTGTCGTCATAGTGCCGGCTGCTTTCCAAGGCATGCAGCAATAAATGACATCATCAGAAGAAGTCACTATGCAGCTGGGTTCCCTTCCCAAATCAAACTGGTAGGCCCTGACCGTGGTGATGGAAAGCAGCTGGATGGCATTACCATTTCCCTTTTTAAAATAGGGAAATCATTGATTTGGGATGCGACTTGTGTGGATACATTTTCAACCGGTAATTTGATCAGCTCCATGGTTGAGCTGGGGTCCATCACCCGGGATACAGAGATGAAAAAAAAAATAGTTAAATATTCTTCTCTTGCTGATAGATTTTTTTTTACTCCTGTGGCAGTGGACACTTCAGGGGTTATTGGCCCTCATTCAATGGCGTTCTTTCGTAGGATTGGTGAGATGGCATCTCGATTAAGGGACAAGCCTCGTGAGATGGAGTGACTTTTGCAGCATGTCTCACTGGTGATGGTAAGAGGTAATGCTTTCTCCATCATTGTGGCTGGCAGAGGATAACAAAAAATATTTTGCTTATAGTTATTTGTTCAAACTTTTTTTTATTAATGACATAAACCGAAACTGTCTTTGTTGATTATCTTCTTATATACTTTTTAAATGTTTCTAATAATTTTTGTTATTCATTTCTATTTGAAGACTAAGAGGGAGTATCTTTTTAAGTAATAAAAGTTCAGCAATAGTTCTCCATTGCTGCTTGAGGTTTCTATTTCAAAGGGTAATGTCTTCTTACCATCAAAAGGATCCATTGCATTTAAAAATTCTTGAGGTCACATTAAAATTCCCTTAATGCAGTTTCCTGTTTTTTTTTTTTCTAATATACAAATTTTCCTCAATTCTATGTAGAACTTCTCTTTTTCCAAGACAGTGCTTTTCTCAGTTGGGGTGTGGGTCTCCCATCACTCAAATTTTACACCCATGAACCACAATGTCAGCAATCATCAGTCTTTCTGACTGGTGTATGGTATTATCTTTCACAATATCTGGTGATTTGCATATTGCAATTCCAACTCAATGATGCCTTTTCTTCCTGTGGCTAGTCCAAAACAAACTATCTCCCAGATGTGCAATGAAATTACAATCAAGTTGGCACACATCTTGCATACCGACAACATCAATATTTGCTTTCTTGCATTCTTCTAAAAGGAACTGCACCTTGAAATCATCTGATGCTAATTGGATACTGATTTGTCTTATTTTCCATTTGAAGAATTTTTTAAAGTTTGGATTTTTGGTCAATTTTTAGTTGATATTGATAGATGAAGTGACTGACTAAACCTTTCCTTACCAGTAGCAGATTTTTTGACTGTGGCCTGATGTGACACTGAGGAACATGTCACTTGATGACCTGTGTGACAGATGATGCAGTATTTCACTATATTTTTAGGCATTCTCATGGGGTCAAAAAGGTTGGCTTTATATCAGAATTTCCTTCTCTTAGGTAGATGACCATTAAGATGGTTACTGAGCTCTATTGGCCCATTTGGTTATCCTAGATAAACTGCCCTCACCATGGGGTGCTCATCTCACCCACATATAAAGACATGTTTTGGTAATTGATAGTGGAGTGGTATCCCATTGCCTACTCCATGGTGACTGCAAGTTTTAATTTAGTTAAAGTTAAAAAGAGACATTTTTTTTTTCTTCTTTTATTTTTCTACCCTTTACTTGGCTTTTTCAGATCAAAGTGGGTTGTGTTCTTAACCTACCCAAAGTGACCTGGAATGATTTTTTTGGCCAAAATTAGCAGAAGAAATATTAGAAAGTGGAAAATGTACACATTAAAATAACATAAATCCAAGTAGAAAATACAGTAAGTAAAATCACCACGTATACAAATAAACAAATTAAAAGTGCCAGGTGACTTTGAAAACATTCTGGTTTAGCAGATGAATATAAGAATAATCAGAAAAAATGGTCATAGAAAAAATTATTTTCAACATGCTTAATGTGTGACCTGCTTGGACATTTACAGTTTGGGACAGGCTTTTCTTTTCTTCTTTTTCCCTTTACTTGGCTTTTTGGGACTGGGTTGGTTTGGATTCTTAGCCTACCCTATGTAATGTGGAACAATCATATTTTTTATCAAAATTATCAGAAAAAATATTAGAAAGTAGAAAATTAAAATAACACAAATCCAAACATTGTTTGATTATCACATGAAACACTGTATTCCATGAAACACTGCATCACATGAAACACTGTATCACATGAAACACTGTATCACATGAAACACTGTATCACATGAAACACTGCATCACATGGAAGACTGCTTCACATGACATAGCCCAGATAAAGTAACGAAAAAGATTATTGACTTCAGTATCTCAGACTCATGGACAAGGCAGTTTGTGATAGATATTAGAGTATACAACTCCTACTTTGAATCAGATCATAGACTACTTCTCACTAAACCAACAACAACCAACCAACAAAATAGCTCACTTCTGCCCACAGAAACCAAGAAAAACACCGAGATAGGTAATTTTATTACCAATAGGTATTGCTGGTAATTTCACTACAAATATATATTTTTGGCATTTTGTTTTATATAAATATGTATTGTTGGCATTTTTACTATAAAAATATATTTTTATACTTTCATGGTGTTACCTATAGCTTGGTCCCTTACAGATGCTACCAACCCGCATCATGGTGAACCTGGGAACAACAGCAATTAAGAGTTAGTTCCACGATCCTCTAAACTTCTAGTCTCCTGATCAAAGGTCTTGCTGCCACATGTAGTTTATAGTCATACCCAGAACTATTGATTCAAGCTCTTAAAAAGGAAAGGATAGATTTAGAATGCAGTAATGAAATAGTGTCCAAATTGATATCAGTAAATCTTGATCAAAACATAGAGGAATCAAATAATGTCATCATATCACCATTAGCCGAAGCACATGTGACCATCCCAAGAATACCTGGAAGGAAAAAGACACACCCATGAGATGACATCTCTGAGTTGAAAAAATTGATACAAGAATGAAAGAACTAGTAGAGGAAAAGTGGAAGGGAAAATACCAAACAAAAAGAATAAAAAGACTAATTAATTCTTTGAGAAACCAGAATCTCTGGAAATTTGGAAATGAAAACAGTAATAGACAATGTGCAAAAATGTGGAGTAAAATAGAAAATCGCAATAATATTATACAGTAAAAACCTCCACAGAAAAAATGCGCTGATCTCAAAAACCACTTTGAATCCCATTCAACCTTGACCACACTAAACTTAAAATTCCCACAGAAATAGAAAATATACCAATATTCATCTAATCATTACAAAGACTGTCCCCCAAACATAAACCATAATGAACCTAGTGATGAAGAAATTAAGAAAGCTATTTAAAAACTAAGGAATAATAAAGCATCACTCGACATTAAAGCTGAACTTTCAAAAATAGATTATTTTATCCCTGAATTCAATAACAAGTTCCTCTATTTTATGAAAGAAGTCTGGAATCAGAAATGCACTCCCAAAAGTAGGGTCTATTATGCATCAATGCCTTATAGAAGCAGAAACATAGCCTTCAAGACCCTGACACATACAGAGCTGTCTAAACTGAATCAATCATGGTGAAAATATTAGCGAACATTATATTAACTAGGCTCCCATTATTTTATGAAAGTCAGCTCCTCACGACCCAGTTTGTATTTTGATTCTGGAAAGGATACAATGATGTCACATATGTCATCAAACAATTCCATGAAATTGCTTACCTCTCTAATAGGAAACTGTATACCTGCTTTGTAAACCTTGGAGCAGCATATGACCACATCAAGAAACTTCCTCTTCTCATCCATTCAAAACCACTTTCCAAGCACTGAATCTACAGAATGAATCGGTCTAATAAAAGGAACTGAATCTATCTGCAGAATCTTACGTGTCTGGCAAGAACTCCAATACAAAAATATTTCAAACCTCATCAGAAGTATGACAAGGAAGAAATGAAGAGTCCCAGACTGTTTTATCTCTTCAAGATTCTATGCTTTATACATTTACAAACACAGATGTGACAAGATGGGCACTGACCATTGAAACATTCCACATTACATCCCGAATGAATCTGCCTATAGAAAACAATGATCTGCTTCCTCTCCTTAGGTTAATGTACTGATGATGAGTGGGGTGAGATGGGGGGGTACTATGGTGATGGCATAGGTATCTATAGTGGTATAAGAATGATATTAACAGAAAATCAACATCCTCTATGAAGTGTTCCAAGAAATAAGACTCAAGATAAACCATTTCAAAACTATGATCTGGAATTGGAACGAAAGCCACAATGGCACCAACCCTGAATTAATAATAAAAGATGTGGTATTAATATATACTAAATACTTTAAGTACCTTGGTGCATGGAGCAATTGTAACAAATTAGATATAGGTGAAAAGGAAATTGAACAGACAATAGGCTGTGCCAGAGGTAGTTTCACCCAACACCACAAGTTGCTACAAGACCAAAACATCAACCTGAAAACTTGAACAATGTTCTTAAATAACCTCGCCAGATTGAGGCTTTCATATGGATGTCAGGCATGGTATGGTGCTATGTCTGTTCAGAAATATCTAAACTATCAGCTGTATCCAACTGCTTCCTAAGATCAATGGTGAAAAAACTTTGAGCAAGTGAAGCCTGAGGGTCATGGCAAAGATCATCCTTTTTTGAACATTGTGGAATGATTTGGTTTGGTTAGGTTTGATTTGTTTTACAGCATATCAACCACAATGGGTTATTTAATGCAGACAAAATTTTTATTGCTGGTAATATGTTTTTCTTCAAAAATCTATTTCTGGGAATATTTTTCCTTGAAGAAATCTATAGCTGGTAATATTTTTTTTCAAAGAATGTATAGCTGTTTGTATTGATGGTATTTTTTTTAAAGTATTGCTGATAATAATTTTTCCTTCAAAAATTATTGCTGGCAATAATTTTTTTTATCACAAAGCATTTCTGGTATTAAAACCTATTTTTCCACAAGTTAGGGTGTAAACTATTTTTCCATAGCTGGGACCCCAACAGGTGCTACCACCATGGGACAGGGTGGATCTGGGAACACCAGCAATTAAGAGGTAGTACCACACTCCTCAAAACCTGATCAGGCCTTGCTATTGGATGTAGTTTATCATCTTACCCAGGACGTGGATGTAGTTTATTGTCTTATCCAGGATGCAGATGTAGTTTATCATCATACCCAGGACGACATTGTGGACTGATACTACAGAATCATAAACAAAGAACCATACTGAATAAGTGAAACTATGTCACTTGAAACAATAACTCAAATGAATGGCACATGTAACTTAAAGAGAAAATAATGACATAATCAAAATGTTGATGTCCACACGATTTCAAACAAAAGGCTAGCAAGGAAACTGCTATCAACTGAATGCAGTACTGACTGCTCAGACAATGAATACTTAAATGTTTCCTTATAGGGAAACAGCTAATATTACCATTACCATGTCAAGCTCACGCAACACCACATATGTTTTTAAACTCAAAAAATAACACCAAGTTCACATGACAATAAAAACATTCAAAGTTCAAAACTATTCAAAAATGCAAATTATAAAACGAACTTTGAATTTCATCAAATTTCTTTATTGGTAATGAAAGAAGCTAGTTGAAAGCTGGAAAGATTAACAAGAACCGACACGAACTGTAGACAGTTCCTGTTCCCCTTCAACACCAAGAGCTGAAAACTAATCAGACCACAAGAAAAGCTTTTAAGATTTGTAGCAGACGTAGTTTTTTATTTTTAGCAAAACATGTTTGAACAAAATTCTGCTGCCTAGATACACCTAACTGAATTTATCAAATTGTAAATAAAATGTTATTTTTTTTAATATTTACAGTGCATAAGAAAATGCAGATTAATATAATAAACCTTCTTGATATTATATAAGTACAATTATAATTTTTGATACTATTGTTATGAATAATCAAGAGTGGTCTCCTCTTGTTTTGTTACTCTCCTCTTTGAGAGAGCTATTTCTGTTTACTGAGACTATAAAAGGACACTATAAGCAAACCTTGTATTCTCAGTTGAATAAAGCTTTCTTAAAGCCTACACCTGTGTACTTTTATCATTACAATTAAATAAATAGTAGTAGTTGATTAGTGCAATCCCTAATTAGCATATGTGTACAAGCAGGTGTTAGGTATAGGCTCACTATACCCTCATTTAGAATATAATAACAATAAGTACAATGCCATTGCAAAATTACTTAAGTAATGAAGTCATTTTTAACAGGTGAGGTAAACTAGCTTATTAACCTTATGGCTGATTTCAAGCTTGTGTATGCTTCAAAGTTGCTGACATGCATAAACTAAGATGACTTAGGTGTATTAAAAGTTCATAGATAGAGTATTAGCATTCTAACCATAAAACCTGAGTTCAAATCATGCCATGTTTGATTCGTCAAGGGGGTAGCTACTTGATAATATTATTCTTGGTAGATGATCCCAGTAAATGATAAAAGTGGTAAGTACCTGAAAACCATGTTAGAGGTTGGCTTGAGCTGTGAGAATAAAATTGGGTATGTCTGGAATCATTTGACATACCCTGTCAGAATTCCAATTCTTTAACTGAAACACTTCAATATCTACAGCTCATATGGCAAAAACTGAGCTTAATTTTGTCTGGCTCAATGCATACACTTTCAGAATACCATCCAAAAAGACCAGGGGTCATAAAACATCATTTCTGATTCAATGAGAAAACAGCCCATCTGTTTCTGAGTCTCTGAATCACTATAAAGCCAACGTTGATTTCACTCATGAGGCAGATCCAACCTGGCTGGCATTAGCAACAGACCCCAGGGCAGGCAAAATTAACCAGACAACCAACAGCAACACCAACAGCACTTCCA